GGCTGGCAAGCTACCTGAGGCTGTGCCTTGGTGATGATCTGCTCCCCTCCCTGGCCTGGCCCTGCCCTTCGGCCTGCCTTCCCCTAGCCAGCCACACCCCCTCCTTTCTGGGCACTTGCAGATGCTTCAGATGCCAAAGCCAGGGACCGGAGGAGGGGCGGGCCTCCGCCCACATCATCCTCGAAGGAGGGCTCCGAGGTCAAGGATTCCAGGTAGTGCACCTGGAAGGCGGTGCACACTTCCTGCCGCCAGGGACCTACCTGCTCGGCATGAAGGTGCTGACTTCTGCGCCCTGGGCAGGCTGAGGACACGTGAACATGGGCCCTGCTAGCCTCTTGGAGGGACTCTCCCAGGCAGCCAGGCCTGTCCTGGTTGGCCTCTTGGGGATGCCTTCCTTCCAAAGCTCCTCTAGACACTGCCTTCAGCCCCACCATTGAGGGGCAAGGCTGTGTCTGAGCTGAAAAGAGCTGCTGCAACCCTGAGGGGGCTGCAGGCCAGCCCTTGGTCTGGTTCTCAGGTTGCACACCCTTGAACTTGCATCAGTCACTGCGGCCTCTCCCTCCCTCATGGGGGTCACGGCATGAAACTGGCATGAGACTGTGAGAGAGGGTGGGAGGATGCAGCCTGGATGGCAGGCAGCCTGGCTGGGGCTCCCAGCCCTGTGAGGGCAGCCATGCTGGTGGGCAGACCTGGCCTTGGGTGACTCCCAGCCCCACCTGCCTCTCCTTGATCTGGCACATGGTGTTGGGTGTTGTGGCCCCATGATCTGGGCTTCCCTGGGTGTGATGCTGCCCCCCTAGTGCTCTGTCGGTGCCCTACCCAGATGGCCTCACTACCTCTGGACAGTGGGGCAGACCCCAGGGCATGCTGGGCTGGACCGCAGATGCATGGGGTCACTGGCTGCTCTTGGGGGGGAGCTGAAGGGATTTAGGGGAAACTGGCTATGACGCTGACTTTTCTGGTGACTGGTGTCTCATGAGTTCACGTGGTCCGAGGGGCCTGTCTCTCTCCAGCGGCCAGAGGCTGGAGCTGCCCAGGGTGCTGCCAGCCCCAAGGATGACCACGTTTCCCCCGATGCCGGTCACCTGCGACGCTGTGCGGAACAAGTGCCGGGAGATGCTGACGGCCGCCCTGCAGACGGACCGTGAGTGCCCACCGGACAGCTTGGTCCCCAACCCACTGCTGCCACCTGGTGCTGGGTGGGCCGAGGGGGTGAGTGGAGCCAGCGGGGCGGCTGGAGAGAGCTGCTTCCTGCAGGTGAGCACACGGCCATCAGTGCAGATTGCGAGCGTCTGTCGGCCCAGATCGAGGAATATATCCTTTGTGCAGGGGCTTAAGGCTGGGGGTTCCAGAGGAGTCAGCGGGCCAGCCAGGCCCAGCTTTCCCTGGTGGCCACTGCCCTGGCGCCTTTGCCAGGCTATTGGGTGATGAGGTCAGCTCATCCCTGAGCCTGCTGCGGGCTGATTCTGCCTGCTGGTGTGGCCTGGGCCTTGAGCCTGCAGCTAGGACCCAGCCAGGACTGGGTCCAGGTGGGCCACCCAGCCCAGCCCCTACCCTGGCGGCCCCCACTGGGAGGCCCTCCCTGGCCCAGCGGGGTGGGTGGAGGTCAGCAGCCTCAGCCTACAGCGGGTCCTTAAATGCCCGCACGCATCTTCCGGGATGTGGGGAACACGGACATGAAGTATAAGAACCGCGTGCGGAGCCGCATCGCCAACCTCAAGGACGCCAAGAACCCTGACCTGCGGCGGAACGTGCTGTGTGGCACCATCACGCCCCAGCAGATCGCGGTGATGACGTCGGAGGTGCTCCCCTGCCCTACCCGGTGGAGGGGGGGCGCTGCCTGCAGAGCTGGTTGCACAGCTAAGCACCCCCTCCCCCAGGAGATGGCCAGTGATGAGCTGAAGGAGATCCGCAAGGCCATGACCAAGGAGGCTATCCGAGAGCATCAGATGGCCCGCACAGGGGGCACCCAGACAGACCTGTTCACCTGCAACAAGTGCAGGAAGAAGAACTGCACCTACACACAGGTGTGCGGCCTCCCCCTCAGGGCCCCAAGTGCCCTCAGAGCCGGCCCTGTGGGTGGGGTCCACACCCTCACACCTGACCCCATGGTGTGAATGGTGCCAGGGCTGGGGCCCAAGCCAGGGAGTGAGGGTCACCTTTGGGGCCTCCCCCCTTGCCAGGACCCTTGGCCCCCAGTAAGCAGCATCTTGCGGGGTAGATCCTGCTTGCTGTGGACACTAAAGTTGGGGAACCTGGCCCAGCCCAGCATGGAGGGGCCCGAGGACTGTTGCTACTGGTGGGAGGGGGTGGGCTGTGCTCCCTGGTGGTGGCTGTGGAACCACACCCAGACCCGCAGAGGCCACACTGCTGTGGCCCCCGGGAGGCAGCAGGGCCCTGGGAAGAGGAGCGGGTCAGGGTGGCTGGAAGGCTGGGTCGCTGGGGCAGCCGCGGCACGTCACCCACAGGGACCCCGGGGCTGCGAGCCCAGCATGGGTGGCCTCCCAGGTTGTGACTCCAGGGAAGACCTGCGCGGGGCTGGGGTCCTCACCACATCCTCCCACAGGTGCAGACCCGCAGCTCTGACGAGCCCATGACCACGTTTGTTGTCTGCAACGAGTGTGGGAACCGCTGGAAGGTATGCGGGTGAACCCAGGGCCCCTTCCTCTGGGATGGGTATCTCCAACCTGTGTGGGGTCTGCACAGTGTGAACTGGATGACAGCCCTGCTCAGCCAGCCTCCTGGGAGCTCTGGTGAGGGTGGTGGAGACCTCGTCCGCTCCTGCCTCCCGCCCTCAGGGTCACCGATGCTGAGTGTCCCCCATTCCTTGCAGTTCTGCTGAACCCTTGTGCAGATGTGCCTGCAGCGGCGGCCAGCGCTGGCTGTCCCTCCTCGCCTCCTGTGGACACAGCCTCTGAAGCCCTGCCTGTGCCTTCCTGGCTGTCCCCAGAAGGCAGACACCCGCCCCCCATCTGCAGCACACCTGTCTCCAAACGATTAAATGTTTCTTCTTGCCACCATGCTGCCCTTGGCTTTTGGTTCTGGTGGGCTATGCAGAGCTTGGGCTGTGAGTTGGGTTTCCCACTGCTGCTGGGGACAACCCTCCTTCCTGGGGTCAGGGAACATGGGTGTGGCCCTGGGGGAGCAGTGCTGGAGGGACCGAGTGGAGGGGGCCTCGGGCACACAGAGGACCCGGTTTCCTTCCCAGGCACTGCAGCTTAGGGCCCAGGGCAAGCCTGGGTCCCTCAGCCTCCGCTGGCGGCCCTTCCCGACAGCCAGTCTGCTCTGGGAGGCATTGGCGAGGGGAGGGGCTAGATCTCTGACTAGCTCAGGGCCTCGGACCACATGCAGCATCAAACCCCTTTGCGTCCCAGAAATTCAGGGACGAGTGGCCAGCACATGCCTGAGACAGCGGAGTTAATAGTGTCTGGCACCGGGGACCCTCAGGGAGGGTTCACCCCATGGGTACTGCCCCTGCAGGCCAGTCTCTGGGATGACCTTTGAGGCGTTTCAGGACCCTGCCCACCCAAGGCTTGGGCAGTGCTTGCCATTGCACTGCCAGTCCTGGCGAGGTGCTGCGGGGGCCACACCTGCTGGGGTCCAGCATCTCCGTGCGCAGCCCCTCACTGAGGGTGGGGTGGGACAGCGCCTGCTCCCCTGCCTGGGTCTGGACATGGAAAGGAGGAGACTTGCTTTAAAAGTATCTTCAATAACAAGACATCCTATTTTGGGGGAGGTGAAATGGAGATAAATATGAAAACTTTTTTTCCTTATAAAATACAGCGAGGACAAGTTTCCAGATTCAAAGTTAATGAACATAAAAGAGAGAAACTGGATCCTGTCACCTTGAGCCTAGTTCAGAGGTTCTGGGTCTGATTCCGGGGAGCAAACAGCTCCAGCTGGAAGGTCTGGCCACGTCACACACTGGACAGTGCAGAGGTCTCTTCCATCAAAGGCACTTTTCCAGGCTCCAGGGCCTCTCGAGGCTGGTGGATCCGAGATGCCTCCTGGAGGGTCCGCCCCTCACCAGGCAGGAGCCCCTGGCCGGCCAGCACCCCTGCCTGTTAGCAGGACCTCAGGGCACTCGCCCCTTGGGCGGGGAGAGCTCCTGGCCTGCCCTCAGGGTGCTGGGCCTGGTGTGCCAACACCGGCTGCCGCATGGGAAAGGTGACCTGAGTCTCTGCCGTGGGGGGCGGCCTAGGCCTCATGGGAGGACTGGGAGTCCCCCTGGAGCAGCAGGGCACGGTAGGCGGGGGAGCTGAGGAAGCGGGGGTAGGAGTCCCGGTGCATGAGTGTGTAAATCTGCAGCTGTGCGTCGTCGAATGTGTGCGCGGACGGCTCCTGCATCTTCTTGTTGATGCCTTCCCGGACGCGGGAGTCCAGGCTCACCTCCTTGGGGGACAGGATGGACACGTAATCCTCATAGATGAGCCGCGCCTTCTCGTCCACCACGTGCTGGTTTGCCTCGGCCTTGAGCTCCTCGCAGGCCAGCCAGAAGAGCATGTTCTCCTCGCTGTACTCCGTGCGCAGGAACGCCCGGAACGCGCTGCGGCCCGCGGGGCTGTGCATCAGCTTGTCGAAGGACTGTGCCCAGCTCTGCACCTGCTCAGGGCCTGGCGTG